TGTTGGTGGTGGTGCTGGTGGTGTTGGTGGTGTTGGTGGTGCTGGTGCAGGGGAAGTTGCAGCTCCCTTCGGAAAGGATGGTGTCCCAGCTGGGGCTGGTGTTGGTGGTGCTGGTGGTGCTGGAGGAGTTGTGTCTCCCTATGGAAAAGATGGTCTCCCAGCTGGGGCTGGTGTTGGTGGTGCTGGTGGTGCAGGGGTTGTGTCTCCCTATGGAATGGATGGTCTCCCAGCTGGAGCTGTGGCAGGAGCTGCTCCTTTTCCCTTTGGAGGTGAGGGAGTGATGGGATCCCAGCGTGGCAGGGATGGTGGGCTGGGCAGAGCTCCAGGATATCCAGGGGGAGCAGGAGGAGAGAACTTTTCCATGGAAGGGGGGGGTGTGGGTGGCTCTGCAGCATGGGGCACTGGGTCTCCCTACGGCAAGGACGTGGGATCAACTGGAGCCTGGGCTGGTGCAGGAGCTGGTGGGACATTGGGAGGGGATGGAAGGGATTCATTCCTTGGTAAAGGAGGTGTGGGAGGTGGTGGTGGACCAGGTGGTGAATATGGAAAGGGCGTTGCCAGTGATGCCAGAGGATCAGGGAACCAAGGTTCAGTTGGTGACAGAGGGTCACTGTCAGGTCAAGGAGATGTCTGGGGTGAGCGCAGAGATTTAGGACAGTTGGGCTCCCTTTATGGCAAAGATTCCGCCTTTGGAGGGGCAGGGAGCAAATCCTGGAACAGACCTGTTGATGGAAGCAGTTCAGGGGGTCTTGGTCAAGGTCCACCCAGTCATGACCAGATGTCAGCTCTTTCTGGTGGGCTTGCCCCAGCAAGCCAGAGAAACGAGGAACCTGACGTGGATGTTAAAGCAAAGGATCTCCCGACCAACACGGAAAGTACAGCCCAGAAGAGAAGGTCCTGCCTGGATGATCTCAAAGGTACGTGGTGGTGCAGTGGCTCGTCGGTGACTCCTGGGCTTTGCGTTTGGACACTTACATTCCTGATCCTGCGAAGAAATGGAATTTTATGGGTCAGACAAACAGAGCTCTGTGTAGAAATTTGGTTGTGATCCCTTCCTAATTCTCCCACTGATTTGCTGTTTTATCTTACACAACTTGCTCTGATCAAATTGCCTTCAATATTTAAATGATCTTTGCTTAAATGGTCTAAATCGGGTCTCATCTGTTCATTCAAACACACTTCACATCCACGTGGAACTGACCGATTCCCATAAAGTTTCAAGGAATATCATTGTGTTTCTTTGATATTGTTGTAATTTAAAACTTGTTGCTAATTTAAAACTTATTTTTTCTAACATCTAGTGCAAAGAACTGTGGTTTTCCAGGTTCTGGGAATAATTCTTTGCTTCTATTTGGTTCTATTTGACCAGGCCTAATGTAAAGTGCCTGCTTATACTGGATTATATAATGTAAAGAGCTCTTTTCTCTTGTAACATCAGAAATAATAAGGTGCAGATATAGTAAAAGGGGAGTAATGTGTTTGCAGCTGTTTGAGTAAGACCTGTGGCTCCACTAGCAAGATGATGATGTGAAAATTGTAAAAATGAGGAATTTCAAATGTATAACCAAAGGGGAATATTCACCTAATGGGATTGCTGACAAGTTAGGAACTATCAAGACAAACAAAATATAAATAAGAAAGTAAAACAAGATTGAAGTTCAAGGGGTGTTTATTAGAGAGGGGCTGAGGTTGTTAATGGAAAAGAACTTGGGAAGGGAAAGAGGAATATGGGGGTGGAGAACAATATTCCCAGGGCTGTTTTGGGGGAACGTGGTCAGGCAGCCCCGTGTCTGGTCAGTGCAGAGGAAGAGGATGATGAAGCAGGATATCCACACTCTGGAACAGCCTGTTTTTCCCCACTGGCTGTAGAGGGAGCCAAGACAATCAGCACAGACATAAACTGAACAGTGTGATTTGTGATGACTCCGTTGCTCAGGGGTTGATGGTGGGACTGTACCATGAACAGGCCAGGCTGGCACGTCCCTTCTGAGGGCACCCAGGTGGTCACAGCGTGGGGCACAAAAGCCCGTCATGGCCACAGGATACCTGTTCTAAAAAGCTCTCTTTTCTCTTCCCATGCACATCCATGTCCATGTTCTCCCCATTTTCCCCCCTGGCTGCTCAGTCCCCCGGTGTTACCTCAACAAGCAGCTGGCCACGGTCCGGGTGGTGAAGGGGGAACCAGCCGAGCTCTCCTGCACTGTCAGCAAGGATGACGTGACAGGAACCTGGTTTAAAGACGGGCTGAAGGTGGGTGTCCTTCCACTCGTTGTTTCCTTTGGTCAGCAAAATTCTGCTCTCTGCCTTCACTCCCTAAGTGCTGTGCCAAGGTGTCCTTCCCTCTGCCCTCTGCTGCAGCCGGAGCGTGGCCCTGGAAGGATTCACAGACTCACAGAATCCCAGGACAGTTTGGGTTGGAAGGGACCTCAAAGACCATCTTGTTCCCACCCCCTGCCAAGGACAGGGACTCCCACTAGCCCAGGCTGCTCCCAGCCCCATCCAACACTTACAGGGATGGGGCATCTGCTTCCTGATAGCAGGAAGATTTCCCCCCCCTTCCTGCTACCAGACATTCCCATTCTTGCTGACAACAGCCACCTTTGTGTTTTCCATTCTTTTTCAAGGATGGAGATGATGTGGTCACTTGCTTGCAATGCAGCCCTTCTTTTCCTGGGTGAATGAGAGAAAAATGCCAAAAGCAAGGGAAGAATCCTCAAAGGATCTTTCAGGCGGGGATATCGTGGAGAGTGTTCATTCAAATTAGTGCTTGAGGTCAAGCACAGACATCATACAGAATTATAGGGTTGTTTAGATTGGAAAAGACCTCTAAGACCATCAACTCCAACCTTGAACCCATCACCACCACCACATATCCATATCCTATAGATATATTCTATATCCTTTATTCTGTGTTCCTAAAGAACGCTGAAGAGTGATTCCAGCTGTGGGATCCAGATGATATTGTAGGACTTCTGAGGTGTCAGACTCAAGCACTGATCAAAAGTTTTGTCATTAAGAACAGAAAGAGAGAGCTTGGAGTTGAACTAACATTTTTTTAATTGATCTTGGAAAAAAAACAAGTCTTTGTGGGGAGTATGTTGATAATGCTTATCTCAGCTTCAGTTGGGATTGTTTTTTCCCCTTTTTTTCTCAAAGCATGGGTCTCTGTCCTTTACCTTGTAGTTGACAAGCATGCAAGGAGTCGTGTTTGAAAAGAAAGGTCTAGTCCACAAACTAATTATTAACAAAACCGAAGACATTCATGCTGGGAAATACAGGTTTGAAGGTGGAGATGTGAAAACTGAGGCTTCAATTTTTGTTGAAGGTGAGTCTGTTCAAACCACCAATGCAGGACATGAGCTTTGATGGGCCTTAAATGTAATATGTTTTATCAGAGACCAGTAGTTGGTTATGGAGATAACTTTGTTATAAGAATCCCAAGATAACTGAGAGATGGTTTTTGTACAGGTTGGTGCATTTTGTATTCACAAATTTAACTAGGGAGCCTTCCCACATAGATCCTGTTGGTAACTCAGAGATTTTGGGGTGCACAGAACACTTTATCAGAGCAGTTCTTCATTCTTTGTGTTTAGTGTGTTGCTAAAGAGAAACCTTCTCCAGTGGAAGGTTTTTGTGACACCACAAAACCTCGTGATAATTATCCTGTAGCAAAGTACAAGTTTGTGAATCCCCGAGCACAAAACCAGTGAAGGTCCAAGTGTTGTGAGATCCTCAGAGTTCCTGGCAGCGTCCCGAGGGGAGCCCTTCCCTCCAAGCCTTGTCCTCTCTGAATTGTGGGTTTTAATGACTTTTTGTATCGCCTGGTCAGACCCTCCACAGGTTGACAAAGTTCTCCTCAAGAACCTGAGCAGTGTCCCCACGGTGGCCAAGGCTGGGCAGGCGGTGAAGCTCAGAATCCCCTTCGAGGGCCGTCTGCCCGTCAGAGCCACGTGGCTCAAGGACAAGATGGAGCTGGCAGATGACACCAGGATCCGTATGGATAAAACAGACACCCACACCACGCTGTCCATCCCCAGCTGCAACAGGAGGGACTGTGGGGATTACAAGGTCAGGCTGAAGAACGACAGCGGGGTCCTGGAGATCAACTTAAAGCTCGTGGTCATAGGTAAGAACTCCATAAATCCGCTGCTGAGCTCAGGCAGGGAACCCATTGACACTGGTGACAATCTTATTTGGAGCTGCAGGGTGTTCCAAGAGGAACAAGGCTGTATTTTGCCACTAAATCAGGGTACAAGGAAAGATTGCTGACATGCTTCTTGCCCTTTAGTACAAGGTGGCACAAGTCTGGTTTGGTTTTTCCCAGCCTCAGCAGCTGAGTTTGGAAGGCTGGGAGACTGTGGGAGATGGGACTGTGCTCAACATGCAAATCTGAAACGGGGTCTCAAGACCAAATTCAGCCCTACCATCAATGTCTGGGCCCTCTTGGGAGACCAGAAATTACATTCTTCCTGCGTTATCAAGCTGACTTGGTGCACTGCTTATGGGAACAGGGAGAGCAAGGGCCTGGCTCCCCCTTTCCATCAAAGTTAGAAGAGTGGATATTTGGAAGAGGCAATTTCAGTGCCCAGCCCTCATTCTGCAGCTGTGCCATCAGGAACAGTCTCACAGCTGGTGAGCAAGAGCCAGTGTGTGCTCCAAACCCAGGAACACATCTGGGTCTGGAGCCAACTCATCATCCCTCTGTCCATCTTTCCAGACAAGCCACAGCCACCAGCAGGACCCATCAAAATCGTGGAGAGCTCTGCCAATGCCATCACCATCCAGTGGCAGCCCCCGAAGGACGACGGGGGCAAACCGGTGCAGAGGTACCTTGTGGAGAGGCAGCAGGCGGGCAAGAACGACTGGGAGACCTTGGGAGACACCCCCAGGAGCTGCACCACCTTCACCACCAACAAGGTGGAAGAAGACACGAGCTACTACTTCAGGGTGAGGGCCGTGAACGTGGAGGGGACGAGCGACGCGCTGGAGTCAGGCGAAGTGAAGGCGGCTGGCAAAGGTGAGGAGAACTCATAATTCACAGTTCAGGTTGGGAAGTCCATTGTCAAAGCCGACATCAGAGAACACTCACTGCATTTTGGGTGTTGCTACAGATCTAAACTCCAATGGTTGCTGTGAGGTCTTCACACAAACCTGTGGAGGCTGCACAGCAAGAGCAGCAGTTTGTTGTAGGCTCTGGTGGTGCTGAGGAGGAGTTGCCTTCTTGGCAATGCTCCATCCTGAATTGGAAAACCAGTCCCAGAGGGGAAATGCAAAACGCATCCCGATCAAAGGAAATTTTTCCCAGTGTGGCTACAAAGGGAACGTGTGAGGCCTTTTCTCAACTTCCTGGGCAAAGCAGTGTCTCCGTAGGTGCAGCATTTGTAGCATGACCACTCCATTCCCCTGGTTTCCAAACAACTGAATATATTCTTTGTCCTTCAATGAGTTCAAATACTAGAACAGGTTAGCCATGAGCACAAATGCAGTACTAGAGAGAGCAATGCTATATTCTGGTTCTTTCTACACTGATTATGTGTTTTGAAAGCTTTAGCAGAGGGTTAAAAAATCCATTCTGGTCCCAGTTTCTGTCACTAAAAGCAAGACTGATGCTGACTGTTCCTACCACGTAAGAAGGACACACTTCACTCCATTTGCTGACAGTGGAATTGTCAGTCCTGCTGACAGCAGGTCTTTTGTGAAATCAAAACTCAGGAACAAGGTCCATGCTGGATCCAGGTTTTCAAAGCACATCCATGGGAATACCTTGGGGAAAGTGGAAGAAGAAATGACACAGAACACTGTTTTATCTTGCAATAAAAATACATCTGCTAATAATGGAACCCTAATGTCTTTCCAGCTTCCCCTGGTGCCCCAGATCCCCCTGAGATCGTCAGTGCCAGCAGGGACACCATCACAATATCCTGGAAAGCACCTCGTAAAACTGGCACTTCCCAGATTGTGGGATACATCGTTCAGAAACGCAAGAAGGGCACCATGACCTGGCTGCCAGTCACCAGTGGGCCTGTGAAAGGTGGGTATCCCAAATCCTGGAACAGTCTGGAAGACTTGACAAGGCAAAAAGTTCAATTGGGTTCAGGAATGTCTTAGGATCTCACACCTTTTCACATTGGTGTTTTTCCTCTGCAATTCTTGAGCTTCTGACTCACCCCCTCACAGCCATTTTAGCCTGTCTGAAGTTTTATCTTCTATTTTTCACAGCTCTGGTGTGTTCTGGAGTTTTTTCTCAACTCCATTTTTCTCCCAGCTGAAATTTCCTGGCTGTGCCACAGCAAAACCAGCTCTTGGTTTAAACCCAGCTGAGCCTGGGGGCAGGATTATGGTCTTTTCTGCATTGTGTGGAGGCACCTGGAGAAAAGCACAGAGAAGCTCATGCTGCATCCTGGGACGTAGCTCCTCTGATGTCTCCAGTTTCTGGAATTAAAGCCTTCACTTCACATACAGAACTATTGTCCTTAGTCCTACAGACAGGACTTTATAAACGCAAGGAATAGAAAGAAACCCAAGTGATGTGTCTGAGCTCCAGAGTGTGCTTTGACTATAGCAGCATCTTCTATTAGGGGCAAGTTAGGACTTCTCAGGTATAGAAGGGTTTAGGATCATCCCCTGAGGAAAAGCAGGATGCGTCCTGTATCCCTAATTTAATAACTCTCAGCGGCACTGCTGAGGCTGCACCCTGAGTGCTGGGCGCAGTTCTGCACCACCTAATTCAAGAGAGACATGGAGGGGCTGGAGCGTGTCCTGGGAAGAGAATGGAGCTGGGAAAGGGGCTGGAGCAGCAGGAGAACTGAGGGAGCTGGGGAAGGGACTGGAGAACCCCTGAGGGAGCTGGAAAGGGTCTGGAGCAGCAGGAGAACTCAGGGAGCTGGGGGGAGTCGGGCTCTGCTCCCAGGGAACAAGGGACAGGAGGAGAGGGAACGGCCTCCAGCTGTGCCAGGGGAGGGTAGGTGGGACATCAGGAGGAATTTCTTCCTGGAAAAGGTGGTCAGGCCTTGGCAGGGGCTGCCCAGGGAGGTTTGGAGTCTCCACCCCTGGAGGTGTCCAAGGAAGGACTGGACATGGCCCTCAGTGCTCTGGGCTGGGGGACAAGGGGGGCATTGGGCACAGGGTGGACTCAATGATCTCAGAGGTCTTTTCCACCCTAATTGATTCTGTGATTCTGTGATTCAAGTGCTGTTTGATTTTGAATGAACACATCCCAGAAGTACACACGCACTTGGATAGGGAAGGGCAGGGGAGTCAATGACAGCATTTATAGCTCCTGAGAATGATTCAGTCCGTAATTCTACCCAGAGTGAGGTCCAGCATCATTGTCTCTCCTTTCCTGCTGGGGGGCAGCTCAGCCAAGCCAACACACTCCTTTCCTTCCTGCAGACAAGAAGCTGAAGGTGACCAACCTCAAGAAGGGTGTGCAGTACGAGTTCCGGGTGGCAGCTGTCAATGCTGCTGGCACAGGAGATGCCAGCGACCCCTCCCCGCCCATCTTTGCCCGGGACCCCACGAGTGAGTGCTCTGTCCTTCTGCTTCTGGGGTAGCTGAACACACACTGGGGGTGTCAGTGGAGAGCAGACCTTCTGAAATGCTCTGTAAAAGTGTGTGAAGACAAAGATCAAATAGCTGGGAAATATTTCAGGGTTGAGAATCAGCTCGAGGAAGGAGCAGAAGGATTTCCCGTGGGATGTCCAAGGGAAGGTGTGGCAGACTGTGGGGTTTGTGCAGTGTGAAGGACTCGAGATGGGCTGCAGGCCATGTTAGGGGTGTTGTGGGTTGTCCTGCAGGGCTGGCAGGAGCAAAGATCCACCTTTCAAGAACCGGGACGAGGCGTGGGCACAACAGCAGGGTGGATATCCAGTGCTCTTCAAGAACGCCGGGGAATCTCAGGAAGTGACTGAAAAGATGGAACAGAAATCCTAGAAAAAAATACTTTCAACAAAATTTCTCTCTCCAGAATCCCCGGGCCAAGTGCAGGAGCTCAGAGTGAGCAGCTGTGACAGCACCAGCGTCACCCTGACGTGGAACAGGCCCGAGGTCAAGGATGGGAATGAAGTGAAGGGCTACGAGGTGGAGATGAGGCCTTCCCACAGCTCCAGCTGGACCAAGTGCCTCACCCTCCCTGCAGAGGCCACCACGGGCACCATCAAGGGCCTGCAGCCCAAGGAGAAGTATTTTCTGCGTGTGAGGGCCCTCAACGACAGCGGCCCCGGGGAGGCCACGGAGCTCGAGGCCATCGCGGAGGCCGCGGCCCCGGCGGGTGAGTCGGGGGCTCCTTCCAGGGGGAACGGGAGCAGCCGGGGGTGATGGTTTGGTCCGGGCCTTCCTGACAACCAGCTCGAAACTGGGAAGGTGGCTATATCCTAGTATTCCATTCTATTTCTGTACATAAGCAGAAGTGTTACTACAAGAGGGACGGAAGATAGTCCGAGGTCAGAGCACTTCGCTGGGGTTGCAGAGGAGGGGCAGCCCCGCTGAGCTCCCAGGGTTTGCTCTGGTCCCTGGGAGAGGGTTACTTCATCCCAACGTGGGAGGGGAGGGCTGGTGGTGCAGTTCTGCTTCCCTAAGGGAAGTATGAAGATTCCTTTGCTAGCTGTGTACATCTACGTATATCGGTTTTTCCATTTGGGTTTTGGGGTGGTGGGGTTTTCTCTTTCTTATATGTAAATGGGTTTTTTTGCAATTGTATATAAGTTTAAATAGGTATATATATATATACTGCTTTAGCTCAGCTTATTTCTGGTCTTTTGTTTCCTTTTCCCCTCTTCCCTTCATGTAAGGGGGGGAATTTCGATGTGGATCTTTGGGGACTTGGTGGGGAGCCAGGTCCAGGCTGCACAGAGGGCTGTGGGACACGGGGATGAGCTTCCTTCCCATCCCAGACTGACAGGAGGATGATGAGCACTCCGTGTCTCCCCTGCACTCTGCTGTTACCTGGTCCCTTCACCAGGAAATTCTGAATATTGACCCGATGTCAGATGTGCAGAGCACAGCATTCGGCTCATGTTGGAGACTCATTAGGACAAAAGAACCCCCAAAACTCTCTCTTCTCTTTGGATTTATATTTTTATATTTATATTTGCAGAGCCTTACCACAGTCACCAAACAGAAACCCCACATTCCCTTATCCCTACCCACCTCTTTTAAGGGAAAATAGAGTTTTCAGTCTCTTTTCACACAGTCTTGTGGAACTAAGCATTTTATTTCATTCCCTTAAATCCCAATTTTTAGATTGGGTTTTGGATGCTTTATTTTACTTTTTAATTGCCTAGTTTGAAAGTTTTTTACCATTTCCACTTTTCCATCTTGATTTACAATCTGTAGCTCTGCTTTTTTTCCCTGCTGCTTGGGAATGTTGCAGAATTACAGAAGTAAGGGATAATTCTGTGAGGGATTCATCTTCCTTAACTTGGGGCCTAAGGGAAATTGTCTACTTTTGAGCTATGCCTGGAGACTCCTTTTATAATCAATCAGTAAATAGGTAAAATAAGTCCATCTGGGAAGCAGGTTTTTCAGTTTTGTAGTGGAAACACTAACTATAATTTAACACTATTATATTTGGCATTTAAAGAAAAATACTAAATACAATAGTATGTTATATTGGTTAAAAAAATACATACTTTGAATACTAAAATAATATTATTTGAAATAAACTCTGGCTGGTCTCCTGGGAGTTTTCTGTGCTCTGTATTGAATGTGTAATTTGTAAGTGTCCCTCGGAATTTCCTTGTCTCCAGACACCATTTAAACACCAAGGATCATCCCTGTGATGGGGTAAAGTGTGTAATAGGGCCAGTTTCTCCATGATTGAGACATCACACGAACACAGAGATTGCTGTGAATGTATTTTTATGTCACTTCCCCTCCTTTGCCCACAGCGACAAATAAATAGCAACGGAATTTGAAAGGTGTAAATGTCCAACTATTGAGTGTAATCCCCGTGTTTACCAGTTCCCCCCAGGTTACTGATCGACGACACGGTGAAAAACCTCCTGGTGGTGAGAGCAGGAAACCCCCTCCGGGTGAATATTCCCTTCGAGGTACGTGTTCCATGGATTGTGGAATTCCCTGCCTGTTCCTGTGCTGGGAGTCAGACATGAAAACTGAGCCACTGTTTTCTTGCCATGGAATTCAGTTTACGAGACACCGGGCAAATCCTTTGGCTGCCTGTGCTGGGGGTGCTTTCTGGGCGAGGAAAACAGCGGCAGAAATTCAGCTGTCGCTTGTTGGCATCGGTGTTTTACGAGGCTGTGGGCATTCATTAACCTCTGCAAACGAGGCCCAGAGCTGTCCATCCAACCTCAGCAACGCTGTCAGCATCTGCTGCTGCTCTGCCAGACTTTAAAAATCATTAATTTTTGTATTAGATATTTCTAGTTAACATTTATATTAAATATTATATTTATATATTATAATAGATTAAATAAATTTTACTAGTATATATAATTATATAGGAATAAATAGTATTATATAATATAAATATTAAATAAACAATATATATTATATTATATTATACTATATAGTGATATTATATATTAATTTTAATTAATACATTAATGTTATGTTATATATTAATTATTATATATTAAATATATAAATATAGTCTATATTATGTATTATATGTTATATATTAAAATATTTATATTGTATAATATTATATATCATATCTTTCTAATATATATTATATATTAAATTATATATAATTATATAATATTATATAATATAATACATATGTATGATATATCCTGACCTTTCTCCCAGTCTCTGAGACAACTGAGACCAAAGATGGCACAAGGGAAATAAAGGCTTTGAGGATGTTTTTTCTCTCCAAACCCAACAGATCTTCTTTCAAAAAGTAGAAAATATTAATTCCTGATGGCATCTGTTCTTGATGCAGAATACTTTGGCTGACATAGTTCTGAACACTTTGCTGCAAAAACATCTTTAAAGACACTGAGAAAGAAAACAGTTCCAAAGGAAGGTCAGAGCACATCAGGGCTCTTGGATCCATCTCGGGTCCGTATTCCTGGATGTGACTTTACTGTGTGGTACAAGAACATATTTGGGACGAGATAATGAAACCACAGATATACAGACAGGATCTGGAGGTGAAGCAGGTGGGCTGTGACTCGTGCTGTTCTTTCCAGGGCTCTCCTGAGCCAGCGGTGCTCTGGTTGAAGGATGGGCTCCCCCTTCCCGACCGGGCTGCCATAAAAACCCAGGATGGATCCACCCGGCTGCTGATCGGGACGGCCGAGCTCGGGGACAGCGGCTGCTACAGCGTGGAACTGCTCAACGGGCTGGGCAAGAGAGAGACCTTCAGCTTCCAGGTGCAAATCACAGGTAACTCCTGCCACCCGTGGGCACCAGGCACTCCCAGTGTCAGTCCAGGCTGGGGGGGAAGGGACTGGGAGCAGCCCCGAGGGGAAAGACCTGGGGTGTTGGTGGGGGAGAGGTTGGACATGACCCAGCCAAGAACCCCCCGTGCCCTGGACTGGTCCCACAGGGACTGTGGGCAGCAGGGCAGGGGGGATCCTGCCCCTCTGTCCCCTCAGGTGAGACCCCCCTGCAGAGCTGCCTCCAGCCCTGGGAACAACAGCACAAGGACGTGGAGCTGCTGGAGAGAGTCCAGAGGAGGCCACAGGGATGCTCCAAGGGCTGGAGCCCCTCTGCTCTGGAGCCAGGCTGGCAGAGCTGGGAATGTTCCCCTGGAGAAGAGAAGGTTCCAGAGAGACCTTGGAATCCCTTCTAGGGCCTAAAGGGGCTCCAGGAGAGCTGGAGAGGGACTGGGGACACGGGATAGAGGGACAGGACACAGGGAATGGCTTCACATTGACAGAGGGCAGGGATAGATGGGATATTGGGAAGGAATTCCTCCCTGTGAGGTTGTGGAGGCCCTGGCACAGGTTGCCCAGAGAAACTGTGGCTGCTTCATCCCTGGAAGTGTCCAAGGCCAGGTTGGAGCAACATGGGATAGCAGAAGGTGTCCCTGCCCATGGCAGGGTTGGAATGAGATGAGTTTTAAGGTCCCTCCAACCCAAACCATTCTGGGATTCCTTGATTTACTGGGAACAGGCAGCAGGCACCAGGCTGAGTTGGACAGGGTGAGCTGTGATGCAGTTTGGCTGTTCAGGCACAGGGAGAACTGCGGAACAACTTTCCTTGGGATTCAGTCTGGACACTTCATGATATCACTGGTCTGCAGGACAGAGCAATCCACTGGTTAAAACTGTACTTCCAGAGGGACTCTGCTGGAAAGGGCCGGCCCAAGTCCCAAACACAGACACTGCAAACCCCAGGAGCAGTTCCTGCTCTCTGGAAGAGCCTGAGGGGGGTCAGCACAGGCTGTGGGACACGGAGCCCCAGCTGGATGAGCTCTCAGAACTGTGTCCCTGGGAGGGGAAGCAGCTCAGCTCTGTCACCCTCCTCTCCTCCCTGCAATGCCAATGTTCTGCAGCAGCAGCTCAGTTCATGGCAAAAGTGTTTGTGTGGCTGGAGAAGGAATTGAATTTGCTCCTTCCAATGATCAGGATCTTTACTGAACCCCCATGGGATAGACTCCAAGTTTTTAGGGTTCTGCACTGTGCCACTGTCCCTACCCCTGTGACATTATTTGCCCTCCCCTCGCAGACATCCCACAGCCTCCTGGACCACTGAGGTTGGAAGAGAATGTGCCCAACACAGTGACAGTGACCTGGGAACCGTCAGCATCTGAGAAGTGGGAGAAGAACCTCTACTACACCGTCCTGAAACGGGAGTCCCAGAAGGGCGTGTGGCGCATGGTGGGGGACCTGCTCTACAACAACAAGTTCACGTTCACCAGCGTGATCCCAGGCAGGGATTATTACTTCAGGGTGGTGGCCAAGAACAGCCTGGGAGCCAGTGCTCCATCTGAAACCGTGCAGCCTTGGAGGATTCGAAAAGCAAAGGGTAAACCAGCTTTTACAGATATTTCTCTGTGTGTGTGGTCGTGCTTGGTTTCTTTTACGGTTTCTAACGCCCCATCCTGAAATGGGTCCCTCCTCCTAGGAATGTTTAGTTGCCCAGAACAGGAATGCCTAGAGGTACCCTGAGGAATTCCAGTTTTGTCCTTTCTGCAGGGACATTGTGCAGAGTCCCTTCACTGCCAGCCCTTATATTGTGGTAATCTGCCACAAAACGAATTCCTGGAAAAATGTATTAAGTGTGGCAGAAACCAAAGTTTGTGGCTCCAAAGTGAAATCCAGGGTCACGTGATAAGCAGCACAGGTTACAGTCTTTGGGTGCACGGGATCTCTGGGAATTGCAGTGTGGAATTCCAGGCTCTCAGCAGCTGAGTGTCCGACTGAAAACCAGCCCTGCAAACTTCCCTGCTGGGAGCTGGACCTGAGGGTGTGTTCGTGTGTCGCTGTTTGTTTTTTACAGCTGAGATCTGGGTCAGACCCCAGAGGTACAGGGGAGTCAACCAAAACCAGCACCCGAGGTTCCTCGTCCCGCTGAAGCCCCACGTGGTGGTGACAGGCAGTGAGTGTCACATGAGCTGTGCAGTGGGGGGCCACCCCCCCCCAAAAGTTACCTGGTACAAAGACAACAGAGACCTCTCCAACGATCCAAACTACTTCTGCACAAACGACTTTGGAGTCTGCTCCCTGGTCATCCTGGGGGTCACCAAGCAGGACGCAGGAGAATACATGGTGGAAGCCTCCAATGAAGTGGGTCGTGTCTCCAGCAGAGCCTTCCTCGCCATCAAAGGTAAAATCCACAGTGCTCTTCCTCCCCTGGGGGATGCCAAGGGGTGTTGTTGCTGCCCAGGGCCCCAGAAATGGTCCCGTGCAGCTCTACCTGCTGCCAAGTGCAGCTTTACTGAACTCCTGATTACCTTTTTAGTGATCAAAGTGGTGGAACAGAACTAGAAACTGAAAGGCAGATGTGAAAAAACCACTCAGTTTCTATGTGAGACAGAGGTTTGGGTTGGCTCTGATCAAATTTTTTAGAAAGAACAATCCCATTTTCCTTGGATAAGAGGTAATATCTTGGTTGGGTTTATCCCCAGTCCAGGAGCTGCAGAATAAAGATCCTGCAGATGTGCAAGTGGAGGGGGAGCAGTGAGGGAACATGGAAGGTTTGGTGACCAAAGGCAATGGGAGGGGAGGAAAGGGAGGGACATGTTGAGGGCCACTGGGATCATGATGGGAATGGAGGAGTAAGAATGGATAAACTTATGGATAAATATTGCTGGTGATTGTACCCAGTGAAATATCCTTTCTTTTAAGTCAAATATTTTCCTTTTAATGCAAAACCCATCGGTGGGATGACACGAGTGGAGAAATGGGTCACTTAAACCCCCAGATTTCCCAGATTTCACAGAATATTCCAAGTTGGAAGGGACCCACAGGCACCATCCCTGTCATCCTTTTGCAGACATTGGTCTTTTTTTTGCCCTGTAAGTTTTCAGCTCCCCCTTTCCAGGGAGACTTTTCAGGCTATTTATCATCTCCTTCATCACAACACTGAGCCACTTCTCTTTCTCTTATTTCCAGACTCCGCCCTGTAGCTTGACCCTGCTGAGAACATCCCTGCCCTGCTCTGTGGATGAGAAGGTTTCAGTGAGGACTGGTCCATCCTAAGCCTGTGCATTTATTTTCAGATGTTCACTGGAGCCCAAGGGGTTTATTTTTCACACCCAGTAATTGCATTTTGAACACGACGCTGCGTTTTAGTCAAAATCGGGGAAAATGTTTCAAGAGAATTGTATTTTTGTAATGATCATGGCTTTCCACTAGACCTTTAAAACACATATTAGAAGCTTTGGGAACACAGAAGATGAGAGGAAAAATATTTGGCCAAAATGAAACTTTCCATGGAGAGCACAGGCAGGAGAGACCATCCCAGCACACCCCTCACCTGCTGTCAGGCTGCAACAGGGACATTTCTGGCCACCAGAGATCTCTGGAGTTGGCCTTTCCCATGTGGTTTTCTAAGCCAAAACAACCCCTTTGGATTCCACTGGATTCTCAGCAGGTTTCCTAACTCTGGGAGCAGTTCTGCATGTCTTGCACTGCCAGTAGCAGCTCAGTATGTTGTTGTTCGTCACCTCTAAGTTAAAAAGAACGTCTGCCTGCTCATTTTGATCTGGGTGAGAGATGAACTCTCAGACCAGGCTGGCATGGAGGAGGTGGCACTCACAGTGCAAATGCCCTGCTGGGGAGGAGTGGAATTCCAATCTGCCCCCAGCTGTGGCAGCATGAGCAGAGCAGCCCCACGGCTGTGCCAGCCCTGAACTGCCACCCCAGTGTCACCTCTGCACCCTCGCTGCCCCTGGCTCGTGGCACTGCTGGGATCGTTCTGCCTGGTGCAAAAAGACCTTAAAAATCTTTCATGTCTGAGCAGAAATAAGAGGTACCAGCAGACACCTCCTGCCACGGCAGGGGGATTCCACCACTGAGGGGGGAGACTGGAAAGCAAAATGTTCTGGGGAGTGTAGGGAGGTGTCACAGCCTGAGCACCAAAGGTACTGCTGTGACAGCATCCAGGAGAGAACAGATCAGAGACTCCAATTCCCTGGATCCTCAGACAACCAAACCCTCCCGTGGGGCTGAAATGTTCCCTTTGATTACATTTTGTACAACATTGTACAGACAAACTGGAGATTATGAAATTAAACCATAATTCAGTAAAATCTACCACGAGTATGTGTTGCTTTTGGAGGGGGCAGCCCGGGCAGCTCCTGAATGCCAGCCCCTGTCTGCTGCAGTTTTCACACCTTGATTCAAAGAAATCAAACTCAACACCTTGATACTGTTAAGCCCTGTAATGTTGGGAATAACTCTTCCATAAACACTCCACTGAAACAAGGATTTCGTGAGCTTTTACTCCCTTTAACGTCTCAAGCCCCTCCTTGACAGTCAATCATTTTATTCTTACAACATTAATCTTTAGTTAAAGGTAACCTAGACTTCTTTTACTTAAACAATCTTTGAAATAGTTTCATATTTTATTGCTACGAGACCTCAACATCAATTTTTAGGTGAAGATAACTTAAACTTCCACTTAATCTTTGATTGATTTAGCTCTCCAGAGTGTATCTTCAAATCTTATCGCTAGAGGATTTATTGATTTACCTCTTTAGAGTGTAACAGTCTCCAAAACTAATCCAAGCTCCAGCTGCACAGGTTGCTGATCTCCTTAATTTTTACTCTCTATTTTTTTAGCAGGGTTTAGGTAAGGATTTCAAAGTTACAAAATTTAAGGACTTGTGGTGGGTTGACCTTGGGTGGAGGCCAGGTGCCCACCCAGCCGCTCTATCCCTCCCCTTCCCAGCCAGACAGGGGAGAGAGCGAGCTGGAAAAAGCAACTCGTGGTAGGGCAGTTAAACGCACACGCTAAAATTCCGTGTGGGGCTCCCAAAATCGAACACGGACAAAGATTCCTCCCAGACAGAAGGTGCCAGGACAGAAAGGCCCAGCTCCCCACGGAGTGCCCAGGGTGGCCCACAAACCGCACCTGACAGCCAAAAATGACAGGCTTTCACTCCTGGGAGAAAGGGGAGAAAGGGCCGGGGTTTCTTTTCGGAGCCCTGCGCTGAAACTGCCGGTCCCACTCCCAAAATTGAACACGGACGAAGGTTCCTCCCAGACAAAAGGTGCCCTCACAGAAAGCTCTTCCTGCCCATGGGTCTGGGGGTGAGCAGGGGGATACCGGGGGGTACCAGGGAGTACCGGGGGTCTGGGGGTGATCCCGGGGTGCCGGCAGGTCCTGGGGTCTGGGGGGGGGTGGGGGGGGGTGGTACCGGCATTTGGGGGGTACCGGGGGCTGTGGGTGATCCTGGGGTCGGTACCGGGGCTGATCCCGGGGGATACCGGAGGTCTGGGGGTGATCCCAGGGTCGGTACCGGGCGGTACCGGGGTTTAGGGGTGATCCGGGGGCGGTACCGGAGGTGGTACCGTGAGTCCAAGGGGTAGCAGGGATGGGGAGGTGGCCCCGGGGGCTGTGCCGGGGGCGATCCCGGGGATTTGGGGGCGATCCCGGGGATTTGGGGGCGATCCCGGGGGCGTTGCCGGGGATTTGGGGGCGATCCCGGGGATAGGGGGGCGATCCTGGGGGCGGTGCCGGGATTTGGGGGCGATCCCGGGGATATGGGGGCGATCCCGGGGGCGTTGCCGGGGATTTGGGGGCGATCCCGTGGGCGGTGCCGGGGCGGTCCCGGCGATCGGGGGGCCGGTCCCGAAGGAGCCCCCGGGGCAGCCCCTCGGTGCGGGGTCGGGGCCGGAGCCGCGGGCGGTGCCGGGGGCGGTCCCGGGGCGGAGCCGATCCCGATCCCGATCCCGGTGCCGGGGCAGCGGCGGAGCCGGGGCATGGCGGGCCTGGGCTCCCTGGAACCGGGCACCGGCCCCGGCCCCGTCCCGGCCACTCGCGTGGAGATCACCGTGTCCTGCAGGTACCGGGGGCACTGGGAGGCACTGGGAGGCACTGGAGTGCAGGCGTAGCTGGCGCTGGAGCGCGCTGGGATGCACCGGGAGGCACTGGGAGGCACTGGGAGGCAACGGCAGACGGCGTTGGAGGGTGCTGGCATTCCCTGGGATGCACTGGGAGGCACTGGGGTGCACTGGGAGGCACTGGGAGGCACTGGGGTGCATTGAGATGCAGCGGCAGGTGGCGTTGGAGGGTGCTGGGAGGCACTGGGATCCCCTGGGTGGCCCTGGGGAGCGGCAGCAGCCGGCGCTGGAGGGTGCTGGGATGCACCGGGAGGCGCTGAAATCCCCTGGGGTGCACCAGGAGGCACTGGGAGGCACTGGGATGCAGCGGCAGCCGGCGTTGGAGGGTGCTGGGAGGCAGTGGGAGGCACTGGGAAGCACTGGGGAGCGTCAGCAGCCGGCGTTGGAGGGTGCTGGGAGACACTGGGATCCCTTGGGAGGCACTGGGATCCCTTCGGAGGCACTGGGGTGCAGGCGTAGCCCGCGTTGGAGGGTGCTGGGAGGCACCGGGAGGCGCTGGGAGGCACTGGGGTGCACTGGGAGGCACTGGGAGCGGCGGGAGCCGGCTTTGGAGGGTGCTGGAAAGCGCTGGGATCCCCTGGGAAGCACTGGGAGGCACTGGGAGCGGGGACAGCCGGCGTTATAGGGCACTGGGGGACACTGGGAGGAATTGGGGAGCACTGGGGGCACTGGGCGGAGTGGGGAGCACTTGAGGGGCACTGGGGGCACTGGGAGGAGTGGGTGGCACTGGGAGGCACTGGAGACGCTGGGGGGCACTGGGAGGCACTGGAGAGTACTAGGAGGCAGTGGGGGGCACTGGGAGTACTGGGGGGCACTGGGCGAAGTGGGGGACACTGGGGGACACTGGGGGACACTGGGGGGCACTGGGGGCAGTGCCAAAACCAAGTGGCTGGGGGGTGACATGGGCCCGACCCCCCCAGAGGGGCTGAACCTCCTGACCCTCCCCAGTGCCCCCTGCACGCCCCACGCCCCCTCTCTGCATCCCAGGGCCCTGCGGGGGTGTCCTGGCACACGGCTGTGCCCCCCAACACATGGCAGCCCAACACGTGCCCCCCAAGGCCCAGCTGTGCCCCCCAACACCCCCTGTGCCCCTGGCGTGTGTGAGGGGCACACCCGGGCATGGACACACAGCCCCGGGCACAGCCCTGGGCACAGCCGGCTCACACTCACACTCACACTCACACTCACACTGACACACACTCAGATCACACTCACACTCACATTCACTCACACACACACAACACACGCACACCCTCCCACTCACACTCAGATCCACACTCACTCTCACACTCAGATCACACTCACACTTCCTCTCACTCTCACACTGATCACACTCATTCTCACACTCACACACACACTCAGATTGCACACACACACTCACACTCACACTCAGCTCACCCTCACACTGATCACACACCCACACTCAGATCACACAGTCACACAGTCATTCTAACTCACACTTACTCTCACACTAACACTCAGGTCACACTCACGCTCACACACTCATTCTAACTCACACTCTCATGCTCACACTTGCTCCCACTCACACAGATCACACACTCATTCTACCTCACACTCACACTCCAATCACACACACTCTCACAGCCTCACACTCAGCTCACACTCACACTCACACACTCACAATCCTATTATCTCCCTCAGATCACATTTAGACACACACTCAGCTCACACTCACACTCACTCTCACACTCCAATCACACGCACTCTCACACCGTCACACTCAGCTCACACACACTCTCACAGTCACACTCACTCTCACATCCTCACAATCCCATTATGTCCCTCAGATCACATTCAGACACACACTCAGCTCACACACACTCACACTCACACTCACTCTCACACTCTCACACTCACAGTCACACTCCCTCTCCCTCCCCCAGACAGCTCCTAGACCGGGACACCTTCTCCAAGTCGGACCCCCGTGAGTGGGGTGGGCGGGGGGGGCTCAGGGGGTGCTTTGGGTGTCCCTGGAGGGTGTTGGTGTCTCTGGGTGGTGGTTTAGGGGTCTCTGGGGGTGTGTTGGGGGTCTCTGGGGGTGTTGAGAGATCTCTGGGGGTTTTTTGGGGGTCCCTGGGGGTGTGTTGGGGGTCTCTGGGGGGTTCTAGGAGGTCTCTGGGGGTCCCTAGGGGGTTCTGGGGGGGTCTCTGGGGGTGTTGGTCTCTGGGGGTTCTGGGGGTGTCAGTGTCTCAGGGTGGGGGGTCTGTGGGGTGTTTGGGGGGATCCCTGGGGATGTTTTTTGGGTCCCTAAGGGTGTTCTGGGGTGGGTTTGGGTGTTTTGGGGTCCCTGGGGGTGTTTTGGGGTGTGTATTTTGGGGTGTTTGGGGTGTTTTGGGTCCCTCCAACCCCCGTTCCCTGCAGTGTGTGTGCTGTACACGCAGCGCCCGGGCAGCCACCAATGGCGGGAGGTGAGTGCCCTGATTGGTGGGAGGACAGCCAATCAGCACCTTGGGGGGCACTCAGACAACCAATCAGAGCATGAGGGGGCACTCAGCCAACCAATCAGCACCTCGGGTGCTGGCTGGCCAATCAATCACCAGCGTGTCGGGGCAGTGACCAATCAGCAGCCACCACACCAACCAGGCAGCCAATCAGCATGTGGGGTGCCTGCGGGCTGACCAATCAGCAGACAAAGTTCTGGCCAATCAGCATGTTGGGCACCAACCCACGGCCAATCAGAGCTCTGGGGTGCCAACCAATCAGCACATCAGGGTGTTGGCCAACCGACCAATCAGGTATTGGGGGGCTGGGCCAGGTGACCAATCGTCACATGGGGTTCTGGCCAATCAGAGCTCTGGGGTGCCAACCAATCAGCACGGCGGGGTGTTGGCCAAACGGCCAATCAGGTGTTGGGGTGCCAAACAGTTGGCCAATCGGCAGCAAGCAGTGTGTCCTGGGATGCGCAGAGCCGACCAATCAGCACTATGGGGTTCACACAGTTGACCAATCAGCATCCAGGGGCGCACAGAGAAGACCAATCAGCATCCTGGGGTGCAGGCAGGCAGCCAATCAGCGTCTCGGGGAGTTTTGGGGTGTGGGGCAGCCAATCAGCTACGGACCCACGTCCAATCAGCCAATCAGCGTTGGCGGCGCCGCCCCCGTAATTAGGCAGGTGTTAATTGCGGGGTGAGGAGCAGGGGGCGGGGCAGGGGGAGGGGCGGCCCTGCAGGCACAAAGCGGCACCTGTGGCCGCCCCTCCCCCCTGCCCCTGTCCCCGCGTGTCCCCCCCGCCCCCGCCCGCCCACCCCGCCCACAAGGCCCCGACCCCCGTGCGCGTGTCCCCATGTCCCCAACCCCCGTCCCCGTGTCCCCAACCCCCTGTGCACGTGTCCCTGTCTCTCCATGTCCCCGTGTCCCTGTCTCTCCATGTCCCCGTGTCCCTGTCCCCGTGTCCCCATATCCTCATGTCTCCATATCCCAATGTCCCTGTCCCCATGTCCCCAGCCCCACATCTCCATGTTCCTGGTCCCCATTCCCTTTTCTCTATGTCCCCATTCCCATGTCCCCATGTCCGCCTCTCCCCGTGTCCCTGTATCCTCATCCCCATGTCCCATATGAACATGTCTCCATGTCCCCAACCCCACATCTCCATGTCCCCCTCTCCCTGTGTCCCCATGTCCCTGTGTCCCCATGTCCCCATGTTCCTGGTCCCCATTCCCATGTCCCTGTGTCCCTGTGTCCTAATTCCTGTGTCCCACATGAATGTGTCCCCGTGGCCCCATCTCCGTGTCACAATGTCCCCGTGTGTCCATATCTCTGTGTCCCCGTGTCTCCATATCCTCATGTCCCCATGTCATCCTCACGTCCCCATGTCCCTGTGTCCCCATGTCCCTGTATTCCCATGTCCTCATGTCTCTGTGTCCCTGTGTCTCCACATCCCCTGTCCCCCCTCTGTCCCTGCTGTCCCCCCATGTCCCCTGTCCCACTCTGTCCCCCCGCTGTCCCCTTGTCCCCAGTTTGGCCGGACCGAGGTCATCGACAACTCCCTGAATCCCGATTTCCTGCGGAAGTTCGTGCTGGATTTCTGCTTCGAGGAGCGGCAGAACCTGCGCTTCGACCTGTGAGTGTCACCCCAGTGCCACCCCAGTGTCATCCCCAGTGCCCTTGGCAACCCCAGGCACCCCTGGGTCACCCCTGGGTCACCCCCAGGTCACTCCAGTGTCACCTCCAGTGCCTGTGGCACCCCTGGGCGCCCCTGGGTCACCCCATTGTCACCCCTGTGTCACCTCTTGTCCCAGGGTCACCCCCAGGGTCACCCAGGGTCACCCCCATGCCCCTGGCACCCCAGGGTGACCCCATTGTGACCTCTGTGTCACCCCTTGTCCCAGGGTCACCCCCCGGGTCACCCACAGGGTCACCCCCAGGGCCACCCCAGTGTCATCTCCAGTGCCCCTGACACTCCCAGGTCACCCCCAAGGTCACCCCCAGTGTCACCTGAGGGTCAACCCAGCACAGCCCCTGCAGTGTCCCATCCCTGTCCCCCCCCCTCCCCACATGTCCCCACATGTCCCCTGTGTCCCCCCCATCCCCACATGTCCCCTGTGTCCTCTGTGTCCCCACACGTCCCCTGTGTCCCCAGGTACGATGTGGACTCCAAGAGCCCCGACCTCTCCAAGCATGTGAGTGAAGGACCCGCCCCGACCCCCACCCCGGAACGGGACACCCCGGTGACCTCCGTGACCCCAGTGACCTCTGCTGACCCCCGGTGACCCTTGGTGACCCTGGTGACCCTGGTGACCCCCTGGTGTCCCCTGGTGTCCCCAATTC